AAGAACGACGAACTAGCTGGGGTAACTTCTAAGTGAAAGAAACATTAAGACTTCTGTAACTTTGATACCCTGGCATCCCAGCGGAGTGCAGAAAGTGATACATGCAAAGTAACAGCCTGACAGCTGCTGCACGAGGTGAAGGAGGGCTACCTGGGTGTCTCTGCAGCCCTGAGGGCTGAGCACACAGAGCTCCTACCCTGCTGAAACGACATCAGGAACCCGAGGAACCCCACTGCCACCACAGCCACCACACAGGTGGTGCCTACCAGTCCTGACAAGCTGGCCGGCAGGCCCCGACTCTGCCTCTGGCTCCAGTGAGCCACCGACTTTCAAGGGAGCTTTACTTCATGAAGATGCCTCCCTGGAGGGGTGGAGCAGCACTCGAGGTATGTGGGGGTGCTGCCCTGCAGGATCACCCAGAAATCTAGAACATGCATAGTACCAGCAGAAGCCCCAGGGGAACTGCATTCTGTGCAGCACGGTTTCCCATGTGTGCTAGTCACCGTACAGATCTAAACATACCGGGACCCAGGAAGAGAGCACAAGTGCTTTTTTGCTTCTTTCTAATCCCTTCTTTAAAACTGTGGGTGTCAATAAACCATGACTACGTACTGAACCAAAGGCAAGCAGCCCAACGGTCCACAGGCTACAAGCGAATCATCTGCTACAGCTATGTCACTCGGCTCCACTGGTTTTACCCCCTTGCTCTTAGCACGGCTTGCAAGACAGCATGCAGTTCTCCCAAACTGCTGTTACCCTTGGAAGTGAGCTGATGTGGCTCTGAGGACATGTCAAGCTCTGAAACAGGCTGTGGAGATGGAGAAGAGCTAGGGCTGGAAGCTGCGGCTGAGGCTGGTGGGCTTACCAACTTCTCTAAAAGAAGATAAAGGAGAAAAGAGCAAAAAAGAAAGCATACGAATAAGTAACGAGAAGCTTACCTGGCATCCAGCAAGCTTGGAAAGAGCCAAGCAGTCTCGTCGCATACCTGGATCACATAAGCCTACCCTAGACACAGCGAGCAGGCTGGGAAGGGCACCGCCACACCAGGAGCAGCACGGGACATGGTTTCAGAAGCAAGCAGCCCTCGGGACCAGTCACAGCCCCACTGCCTCGGAATGAGCCTGCCAACTCCACGGTTTGAGTACATCATAAAGCGAGGTAGACACTCAGTCTACACGTGCCGAACAGAATCTATTTCTAGGCTGCTCAACCTCAGGGAAGCCATTTGTGGGCAAGGCCCTGACAGTGGAATGATAAAGACTACAACAGGTGGACGCTGCACTGAGCTTTAAGTTCACAAGCTGACAAATGTGCGAATAGTTAAAACTTATCTGTAATTACACGCCATTTCTTCTTTGAAGCAGACAGACCATGTCTCCCACCCAGACCCAGGCCGACGTGACACTCCAGATGAATTTTGATTTGATTCCCAGACTCCGACTGCTGCCTTTTCCACTCTCAGCTGAGGCGTCAAGAGGGTCTAACTAACTGAAGCCACTAACGTACTAAGCACGTGCTATGAGATGAACACGACCAAGTGTCCCCTTCATCGGGGTCTGTGGCCCTGCTTCCTGGAGGTCACAGCACGAACAGCTCATTGGATCAAAGGTTACTCACCCAGGCCCAGGGAGGCGGCGTACTGCTGGCTAAGCAGGGAGCTGGCAGCCAGCTGGCTGTAGGGCGGCATCCCTCTGAAGGGGCTGTAAGGCGCGTGTGGCTGGAAGGAGGAGGCCGAGCCCAGGGAGGACTGAGCAACGAGACACACAGGTGAGAGCAGAGCAGGGCCGTCCGATCGCCCTGCCTGGACAGTGCTGTTTATACGGGGAAGGCAGCCAGTTTGGCCGGGGTGGGACTGTCCTGTAGGCCTGGCTGCATTCAGGGGATGAGCTTCAAGACGGTCTAAAGGAGCTCCAAGCTGCCTTCTGCACACTGCACTCCCAGCTCCGCCTGTCTGCGTCATTCTAACACGAATTTCTCCTAACTCATCAGCCCCACTACAGCGCCACTCCACTATCAGGTAGTCCAGCCTCTCTGATAAGGCAACAAAAATGCCATCCTTGATTTGGCCCTGACACGCAGGAGCACAGCGGCATAGCTGGGAAATTGTGTATGGATCCCCAGATGGCCATCCTCTTTCTGGGCCCCATGCCTTCAGGTGCCTGTGCTCCAGAAGGCCTCTCTGCCCCCAAGGCCTGGCTTAGGTCCTCTCCTCTTCTGAAGTCCCTGAGGACCCTACCTCCACACCCTTCAGACCCAGGGCTTCTCCACATGTCTATAGAGCCCACTGTTCACGCCCCTGTCTCCCAAGGAGCCACTCAGTCCCAGAGCCTCCCTCAGCAGGAACCCCAGAAGACCCAGTGGATATTTAAGTTTGCAGGTCAAGGAAATATTAACCTGGGCTCCCTGGTAATCCTGGATGAAATATGCTGTACACAGCAGGCAGGCACGTGGCCTGAAACTTGCAAATTCAATGCCCCACAACACTGGAATTTAACACCTGGACAGTGTTAAGAGAGCAAGCCCTGCTGTCTCCATTAGCACCTAATACCACTCACAGGATGCCACTGGGGCTTGAGACTTACCCGGCCAGAAGCTAAGGACAAACCCAATTCCCCAAGCACCTGGCAAGACTAGAAGCACCACCCTGCTCTCTCTCTCACACACACGTGCCCAGCAAGTCTCCCTCTACAGCAAACGCCAGTGCTACTGCAAGCTGCAGAAATTAAAACCTCCCATAATAACACCAACAGCCTAGACAAAAACGAGACCACTTTTCATGAAAAGGCTATTACTTGAGTTGAGCACTCTGGCCAGATGACACCAAGTTCCACTTGAAGCCCACATCTCTTAGAAACTGTGCCCGTAGAGAAGAGCAACACACTTACCTGAACGATGGCAGGGTCCTGAGGGAGTGTATGCTGAGCTTTCGGAGGTTCACACACAGTAATGTCTTTGATATCACTTCCCCGGAAAATGATGTACTCATAAATTTCCTCTCTGGGAGGGGCGGGCCTATCTGTGGGACGGTCTTCAGTGCCAAAGGATCTCACTTAGGAGTTGAGAGAAATCAGTGATAAGTCATCGTCCTCAGCCAAGTGCATTCAATCAATCCTTACACCCTGCAGCCTCTCACACAGCACCCAGTTTTCACATTTCGGCCACTCCACCCCTCAATTTTCAGTGGCCAACACTTACAAGACCCCAGCTGGCAGAGCTCAAAAACAAGCAACAGCTTCAGAGCCTGATGGCTCGCGAAGCTAGACATTATCCACACAGAAGGCTGAGCACCCCAGCCAGAGAAGGTCTGCTGTGCAGAACGCCCATTCGCGTCTGACTTGGCCAAGTCAACAGCCAGCTGCCTGCTCACCGAAACCTCCCCACCCCTCACACCTGGGGAGGCCACTTTGTCAGGAGAGAATGTCATCCCCACTTTTCTACCCACAACCAGCCTGGGAGCAGGGGTCCAGGCTGTTGGACCCCCACCACCAGCTTGCTGAAGGGCTTCTTGGGCTGCTGACCCCTACTGACAAGGTTCAAGGAGCCCAACCAAGTCTCTCCTTCTTAGGTGTCAGAGGCAGAGCTGGGACAGAAGCAAGCTCTTCCTCAACGGGGCACAGCTCCTGCTGAGGACCGTGGACTACTCTGGGCCTCAGTTTCTCCAATTAGGGTCTCATGCCAAACACAGTCAAATGCCAAAAATCCAGGTGAGCACATAACCTTATAGTGGGGAGCCACTCGTGGAGCGGTGGGGCCTGTCTGTCCAAGAACTGGAGCACTAGGCTCTAGAAGGGAGTATTCCCAGTTTGGGGCCACTGCATAGCAAACCCCTGGAGCTCCCTCTGCCATTCGGTGTACGCTGCACCTTAACACTTAGAAGCCAAGAAAGCCAGTAAGACCCCTCAGTTTCCGGAGACATGACTGCCCCTAGCACTTCTTCCTAACAGGCGACGAAAGGACACTTGCCGTCCTCCCTAGAGAATGAAGACAAAGGAATTTTGGGGCCACCTCCTGCCTCAACAAGTTGTCAGTAGAGAGTCTGGAAAATGGAACTATCTTTCTCTGAATCTCCCTGGAGCTCCGGCGTGGTTACCAGCACCCACAAGGCGTGTTCTATCTTAAAAGAATGAACGCAGACTGAAAGCCCAGGTTAGAGGAGGAAAGTGCTGTAAACGGGGGCACCCAGCCGCCGACCGATGCTCGTATCCTGGAAGGAGTTTCCATTAAGACGTGGTATTTGTTCAGGCGCGAAGCCCCAGCTGCTTAATAGGTTCCAGAAGGCCTTGCAGGAATCATGTTCTCTCACCCCCCAGCCTTCCGGGGAGGTCGGGGAGACTCGAGCCCCCTCGCAGAGACCGGGGGCTCCGCGCCGGCTGCCCCTCCGCCCCGCGGGCAGGTAAGGGGGCAGCGGCCCGGCTACACGACGGCCCAGCTGCAGAGACGGGCTGCGCCCTGGGACATGGACCCGCCCCCGCCTCCCCGCCCCAACCCAGGCTGGGCGGGCCGCGCACAATAAGCCGCCGCGGGAGCCGGGGGCGGGGGGGACTATTGTGCCGGCCGAGGGCAGGGGGCGGGGCGGAGGCCGTGGACGCGGGCGGAGGGGGCGCCCCGGGGGGTGGGGACGGCGGAGCGGGGGCGCCCGGCGAGGGGCGGCGGCCCGAGCTGGGATGCGGGCGCCCGGGGGGAGGGGCGGGCCGGCTGTTGGCGGGCGGTTGGACGGCCGGGGCTACCTTTGGCGAGCGCGACGGTGGAGTTGTCGGTGTCGATGGTGTAGAGGATGCCCTCGTAGCGGATCTGCGCCTTGGAGATGAGGCTGATCTTGCTGCCCAGGTACGGGGTGCCCGAGGAGCCGCTCATGGCGGCGGCCGCCCGGCCGGGGCTGCCCCTCGCTGCCGCGCGACGCCCCGCCGCCCCGCCCGCTCCTGCGCTCAGTGTCGCCTCGCCACCGCCCCAGGGGCCTGCACAGCGAGCGGCGGGCGAGCAGGGGCGCGCGGCCGGGGTCTATGAGGAGAGCGCGGGGGAGGAGGGGCGGCCGCAACCACATCCGGGACCTCGCCCCGCCCCGCCCCCCCCCCTTCCCCACGCTCGCTTGCTGCCCATTGGCTCGCCGCGCGGGCCCTCCTTTAAAATATGGCCGCGCCGCTGGCCCGGGGGCGGTCCTTGCCCCGCGCCTGCGCAACGAGCCCCCTCGGCCCGGACGGGCTTTCCCCGGCGGTCCTCGCCGCCCCTCCCGTCAGCCCGCTCCCAGCGGGCCCCACGCGGGTGGGAGCACGAGACCGGGGAGGGCGGGCCCGGAGAGGGGTGGGCATCGGGCAGGCGGAGCGCGTGCGCCGGCCCCGCCCAGCCGAGCCCCGCAGCCTCAGTTTCCCGTCTGCAGAAGAGTGCTTGGCCGGCTGTCCCTGTCCTGGGCCCGAGGCCGCGGGGCCGGGAGCTGCCCCGGGCCGAGGAGCGCCTGCTCGCGGGGTGAGGGCGCGGGGCGCGCGGGTGGGCCGCCCGCCCTCTGGCGTGGGTTGCAGTAGTAGTTGCGAGTAAGGAGCGCTTCCTCCGCGTCAGCCACTGAATACGACGCGCCCCCCTCCTTTAATCCTGCCCGTCCCGCAGGCCTGTGGGGTCGTTCCGCGTCCCCTGAAACAGATGCCCGGCGGCCCCCGGGCCTCAGAGCCCCGCCCGGCCGCCTGCCCGCTGCCCCGGCCCCCGCGCGGAGGCCCAGCTGACCTCCGCGTGCTCAGACCCGCGCTGCGTGCGGCGCGCTCCGCTCGGGCAGGGCTGGCGAGCAGGCACGCGCCTGCCCTTTGTCTCCCTCGCCCTCTTGACCGGGCATCTCAGGTCAGGGACCAAGATTGGCTGGGTCCTAGAAAAAACTTGGTGGGTCTTGTACAACATTTTATAAAAATGAAACAGATGAAATATCTGAGGGCTTTCCACGTATTTACCCTGTGAAACATTTTACCTACCGAAGGGTATATTTAAGGCTCTGCGTGTGTGTATATATGTATTTTTTTTTAATCGGGTATGTGGTCAAGACGTAAAATGTGTTTCTTAACTGTGAATGCCAGACAAAAAAGTGAAAGCCACTGCAGAGAGAACTTACCCACCATGCAAAACAGGCGTTCTGGTTACTGCCGGTCCTGCAGAGGAGGACGAGCCTGTGCATTGGCAGGCCAGTTGCAGGCTGGGCAGACTCCTGCCCTTAGTGAAACCCCGGGTTCCACCAGCACCCAGCAACATCCAGTAAGAGAACAATACTGGGTTTGAGAAAAAGGAGCAGGAAAGCAGCAGAAAAGATGGGAAGGTCTTTCAAGTCTGTCTGCCAAGGTTTATCTGTACCGTGCAGGACTGCTCTTCGGCTCCTGGAGAATGGTGCTGGGGAGAGCAGGACAGCACAGCCTTTGAATTAGCCCAACACCGCCGAAAGGCACTCCAGGAACAAGGACATTCTGCCCCTAGAAGTGACATGGGCTGTCCCTTAGCGCAGCACAACCTTCCCCAGGGGGCGCAACTGTCTCCAGTCGGTGCCGCCCCGTGTTTCCCTGGCACCTCAGTAATCATCTGACCTGCTGGTCCCCCAGTGAAGCCGAGGCCCTCTTCCCCCACTTTCCATGTGACTTTCCCAAACCTGGTTTCTGAGCTACCAGACTGTGTGCGTGCTGGAGGCAGGTAGCGGAGGGAGGAAGGACGCACTCTTCACTAGTAGAAGCTGGTTCTAGACAAAGGGAGCCGGATCCCAGGGTGGGTTGCAGTTCCCAGAGACCTCCCCAAGCCCCCAGGCTCCTGGGTGTGCAGCTAGGTGGCTCCTTGCAGACATTAGCCTTGGTGCCAGTGCCCAGGAAGGGCAAAGGCTAAAAATATATGCAGTGCACAGGTCCAGGAGCAATTGCCCTGCTATTTGTTCCTTGGAGTCCTGCCTAAAGTGGAGGGCACTCGTGCAAGCTCTGTGGTGGGATGGAGACCTGACCCAGGAGCCAGCTGGTGGTGTTTTTCAGGTGGGGCACGCCCACGCAGCACATCCACCCTAAACAGCCCTTCACAGTGCCCACCCACTCAGTAGTCACCAAGCCTTATGCTGACCTGAGGGATGTAGAGGTGAGCTGAGAAGCTGGGAAACCTGGTGTCTTGCCAGTGTGTTTCAGCCCTGGGCAAGTTCACTGTGGATTCAATGTAACCAAAGAAATGACAGAACGTTCTTGGGGTGAAAGGGTTATACCCAACTTTATTTCCATGGTGTCAGGTCAATCACTAGAATCCTGTCCACTCAGAGCAAGTCTGCATACAGCAAGCTGGTCTTTGCCTCTGGGCCTCTCTACCTGCCGCAGCCATCTTAGTCTCTGTGCCCAGTTCTACCACCACTCCAGCCTCTTTGCTCTCCTGCAGCCGTGCCACCGTGTCTCCCAAAGTATTGGGCGGAGCTCTTTATATAGAGTCAATAATGATGTATTGCCCACATGTGTGCAGTGAGCTAGCCAACCAGGGCCAGGTGAGAATCCTGACCACAGGAACCTTCACTTTAATCCACACCTGGGCAGCTCGAATTTACTGCCTGTTTTCCTATTTGCCAGATGGAGATTATAGCTGCCCTGCATATCTCACTAGTGGTGTTGAGCCCGGAAGAAAATGGTGGTGAAGGGCTTTAGATGGGCCAGGGCCCACGTATGTGCAGAGGACCACAGGCAGCTGACGCTTACTGAGCACCTACAGTGTGTGTAGATGTCTTGCCAATGGGTTTCAGCCCCGGGCAAGTTCGCTATGAATTCAGTGTGACCAAAGAAACTGACAGCAAAATGTTCTTGGGGTGAAAGGGTTATACCCAAGTTTTTTTCCAGGTGGCAGGTCAGTCACTAGAATCCCGTTCACTCAGAGCGAGTCTGGAGGCAGCAAGCCTGTCTCTGCCTCTGGGCCCCTCTGTCTGCACAGTCCTGCACAACCGTCCTCTGAGCCTCTGTCCTTGCCGCTGCCACCACTCCAGCCTCTGCTCTCCTGCAACCTTGCAGCCCTGCCACCGTGTTGAGCCCAGAGTGCTGGGCAGAGCTCTTTATATATAGAGTCAACAGCCATGTATTGCCCACAGGTGTGCAGTAAGCTGGTCAACCACGGCCTGGTGAGAATCCTGGCCACAGGAACTCTCATTTTATCCACAGTAGAGGACAGGTCCCTAACAAGGGTGGGTGTGGACATGTAGACATGGGGTCCTGCCCTGGGCCCCAGCACCCATCAAGCTGGGGTCCTAAAGCCAGTGTCCTGCAGCAGATGAGGCACATCGCCACAGAATGCTGTTGTGTGGTTCTAACTTGCACCTGAGAAAGAATGATGGGCACCACCGTTGGTTTCCCAGGCATCATCCTGATTAGCAGGAGCAAAACAGAACAGGTGAGCCGATTCAGAGATGTTAATACTAGCAAGGTGGTCTGCAGATAAAGAAAAACCTGCCAGAGGTGTGAAGTGTAGGAACATGTTGGTGAGGTGAAGTCTCACCTGTCCCCTTTCTGCCCCACCTGGCACATGGGAGGGGCAGACAGCCACTCCTTTGGGAGAGCCTTTGCCTACAGATGGCAAGTAGCCTGGAGGGAGCTGAAGGGTTGCAGGGGACTGGGTCAGAGCTGGCTTTAAAGGCCCACTAGCAGGTCTGAGCAGGGACAGGAGCTGAGGGGCCCAGGAGGGCATGTTTGATGCGGTGCCTGCTCATGCCCAGGGAGGAAAGACGGGAGGGCGCAGCCGATGTGCACGGTTGGAAGACATTTCCCCCTGCCCAGGGCCCTTGGGCTGCCTCTCCTGAGGCTCCCCTCCTCTTTTAACCCCTTCCTCCCTTTTCCATCTCTACCGCCACCACGCCCACCCCTGCAGCTAAGCCTTGTGCATGAAGGAAGGTGACCGGTGGGAAGAGAAATAAGTTAGGATATAGACCCATCTAGCAGCTCGGCCCTCCTTTCCAGGTCCAGCTGGTGGGAAAACTGAGCAGAATTGGTGAGAGTCTGGCAGACCCAGACATGAAACCCCCAAGTGTCATGTCCTAGAAGCCTGGCCCTGAGCGCTCATCAGAAATGATGGGCAGCACTCAGAGATCCTGGGGGCAGAAAGTGGGCCACCAGGACTGGCCGCTGGGCTCCTCCTTCCCCGACACAAGCAAGGGCCTTCAGGGTTCTGGGACAGCTTATAGGGGACACATTCCCAGGACCCTTAGCTTCCCACCCAACTGCCCCCCACCCAGGGCCAGTCTGGTCCTGCAGAACAGGTTGACGTCTGGGCCCCCGGGCCTCCCTGACTTCTCTGACCTCAGCTTACTATTCCAAAAACAGAGATGAGATCCCCCATGACATGACGTGTGACAACGGAAGGTGCAGGCGGGCACCACGAGAACCCATGTCCCACCCTGGGTCACCAGTCTCGAGAGTGACACGTGCAGGGCACTCGTGGTGGGGTGGTAGGGAAGGGAGCAAGGGACCGAGGGCAGCTCAGGGCACGGGGAGGGTTGAGGGGGCTGCAGGTCCCCTGCCCTATGATCACCAACTGGGCCTCCTTCCCCACCTCTCCCCTCTGCCTGGGGCTCCCTCACAGCCTCATTCAGGCAGAGGGGCTATAGGAGGGGGCAGCTTCACAGGCAGGTGCCTCTGATATGGCTCCCCCACCCCAACCGCCTCAGGATTCGCAGGGACCAGGTAAATCGAATGGCCAAGCAAACTGCCTAGAGGTGGGCCAAGGGCGCCTCGCCTGTCCTCCACCATCTCTCTGTGCCTCCCTCCCACACAGCACGGCACTACTGGCAGGGCCACCTGGCTTCTGGCACAGGATGCCACCAGGGATAGTGATAGTGGAGGCCAGCAGCTCAGGGTGCATCCAACCTGCCTGCCGACCTTAAGAGCTCCCCCAGCCCTGCCTTGGGGAACAGCACAGTGGATGCACCACTGTATTTTCATGGGGCTCAGCTGTCTGGGAGCCATGAGCTAGGGAGCCCTGGGCAGGGAGGGCAAAAGGCCAGGGTGAAGAAATGGGATGTGAGAAGTGGGGAGGGGGAACGTAGGGACCGTGTATTCCCCGGCACACCTACCTATGCCCCCGAGGTGGTTTTTTTTTCTCAATTAAAGGCAGTCTGATGACGCAGTGGTGGTGCACATGTGTTCACCAGTAGACATACACTGGCACGTTTTCACCACTCAACCAGAAGCCCCCCGCCCACTGGATGGAGGAGGTCGGATTGCTGTGGCAGTGTGTGCCTGCATGGGAGATTCTGTTGCGCCTTGCACGAGCAGACCTTGCTGCACAGACAGGGTGACGAGAGAAATGACCTGAAGAACCAGGAGCGTGATGCCCTGCCCAGTCACAGGCAGGCTGCGAGCTGCCTAGATGGTGGTTCCCTGGGGCCCAAGGGCTGCAGGGCCAGCCATAGGCACTGTTTCCACAGGTGCATTCCATTTGTGAGAATTCATCTAGCCTGCCACTCACGGCCTGACCACTTTAGTGCATGTGTATGTTACACTTGGAAAGAAAATTAACACCAACGGTGTTGTTTGGGGCCCATTCATCATGCCTTGTGCAGCCCCGGTGTCTGCCCAGCCGTGCGTCCTCCTCCCTGGCACCTCCCTGTCCTGGGAGGTGTGAGGCAGCACCTTCAGAGCTTAGGAAACCAGTCTAGGCTGGGTGCCTGGCTAGGGCCACACGGCCGGCAAGCAGCAGGGCGGGGATGCTGTGGATAAAGGGAAGGTTCCTGTGGCCAGGATTCTCACCTGGCCCTGGTCAGCTAGCTCACTGCACATGTGTGGGCAATGCGTCATTACTGACTCTATAGAAAGACCCCTGCCCAGTGCTCTGTGCAGCACGGTGGCACGGCTGCTGGAGAGCAGAGCAGAGAACAGAGGCCCAGAGGCAGAGACCGGCTTGCTGCCTCCAGACTCGCTCTGAGTGAACGGGATTCTAGTGACTGACCTGCCACCTGGAAAAAAACTTGAGTATAACCCTTTCACCCCAAGAACGTTTTGCTGTCAGTTTCTTTGGTCACATTGAATCCACAGTGAACTTGCCCGGGGCTGAAGCCCACTGGCAAGACAGGTGCCCATCCAGGCCTTGGACTGCTGACCTGGACACCTTGCCTCACAGCACTCAACCCCGGAGGCCAGAAAACAGATGCAGTTTCTGTGCTCCACGCGCCCAGCTGCTGGCCGGCACTGCTGGAACAGCTACTTTCTCATATTTTATGCACTCTCTCCCAGGCAAAAGGTTCAGGATGTG